TTGGGGTGATTTCTTAATGTACACTTACCTTTTACATAAAACTCTCTTATGTACATATGAGTTTATGTGGATTTGCTTTCCTAGTCTACCCAGACTAATATAAAATATGTTACTATATTTACTATGTTACTCCAAATATGTTACTGTAAAAGAGGAACACTATATAAGTAGCACATGCATTTAGCTATAATGGAAATTATGAAGAGAATCTTTTATGAATTGAGCAGTTTAAATAAATCATGAGATTGTACGAAAAAAGCAATGTGTATGTGAAGGGTTGATGGATCAGAGACATAGTAGGAATATTTAGAGATAGGAAATAAATGTGTTTTTTCTCCCCTGAAATTATGGAATTTTATTTAAGGCAAAATCTGTGGTCTTAATGGCTGGTACTTGGTAATACTCAGATCGTAAAAAGCGTCTGTTGATTTCATATTGGGTCTTCAGAAGCTTGTGGGAGATTGTTAATTAAGGGCCATATAAAGAAACTTAGAAGTACAGGAGCCTACGGTCTAATTGGCCATGTTCATTGGCAAATGGGGATTTGAAAGAACTGGACAATGGTGATCTCTATTGTTAGTGTTCATCACTCACTGGGCTCTACAAAGAGCAGGTGATCGATCCTCTTGCTTGGCTCCTCTCCTGCCAACTCCTTCTATAAGCACTGCTTATTAGATGGTACCTGGGAACCCGTGCATAAAACACATGGCAGAAGGTTGTAGGAAAATGGACACCCCCATAGTCTTTTGAGAGGCCTGTGAGCTGGTGCACACTCCTGGGGTATAGGGAGAGCCCTTGAATGAGGCCGTCCACTTGATAAGAATTTACAGGCTCGGCATCGATGGGGCAATTCCACTCCATCTTCTCAGGCTCTCCTCTAGTTGGGATGGGTTTGGTTCCTTCTGGAATCATTTCATCAACTACTAAATGGTGATGCTAAATATCCACCATGAACCAATTGTAAATAGCATATTAAAAGGTAAGCTCCAGGTTTCCAGTCAAGGCACCCAGGGCCTAATCTCCAATACACTAAATCTTTATAACAATGCATAATGATACGAGATTGAAATTTTGTGAATTTCCCTGTAGGTATCGTTGTGCGAATGAATAAATACAGTGAGTAAATAGATCATGAGTAGATATTACGAACAATAATGAAATGTTCAAATAGCATTTACTAGGACCTTCAAGATCAGCTTTAAATTTTTGAATGACAGCTTTCAGTTTTAAGCCACACGAGGTGGCTCCAAAAAGTTCATAGAACAATAGACTGAAAAGATGACATACCTTTTGTATGAACTTCTGAAACCGGACTCTCCAGGCTCTGCGTGTCGGCCACGTAAAGTTAACAGCAT